AGTATAAACAGAAACAACAACTGAAGCTGGGAAGAGAAATGGCCTTTGGGGATATTATTTAGAAGAGACTTCAGACTTTGATTTCCCAGGCAGAGAAGATGGCAAATCAGCCAGTGTGACTCCTCGGTTCTTGAGAAAGAGGGAAACCACATTTTCCTAAAGCTTCCTGTAGTCGAAGCTGTTGAACTGACTCTATTACAGTAAAAAAGAGTAAGGCAGGAAAATGGGGAGGTCAGCACAAAAAGCAAGGCTGGAAACCCCATGACTCCATGCTGAACAGCCAAATGTTTGTGAGCTGATGCCTCAGAAGTGTGAGAATCCCCCTTGGCATCACATGCCTTTGCTTGGTCCCACGGGAAGGAAAAGGCTCTAATCAGCTTCCCGAGCCCCATGCAGAAAAACATGGTGCAAACACTGGGTGCAAAAGTCATTAAGCACGTAGTAATAGCGTGTCCTATATATTGACACAAGCACTGCACATAAAGAAAAAAGAGGCAGCTTGCCCCAGTTATAAAATACAACACAGGGAGAGTGGCAGAAAGTAAACAAACCACACTGTTACTCTTTATGCCATGAACTAAACCTGAGTCAGGTGAGATGTGTGCCCCGGCCGGGAGCAGGGCAGCAGCGGGGCACGTACAGGCAGGGGCAGGGGCAGCACCAGCCCAAGCCTGTCACTGGCAGCTGCCTGGTGGTATGGGAAGGAGCAACAGCAGCAGCTGGAGCTGTGGGAGCAGGGGGACATTGAAATTAAGCCTGAGACTGATGGGCAGCAGAAGTGGGGCTGGGCAGACACTGGGAAGGAAAAGTGGAGCTAAGGGAGGAGGAAGTCTGCTTCGACAAGCTACAGGTGAGACCTCATTTCAGGATGCCGTCTGCTGTCACCTGCACAGGTCCTCCTGCAGAAATAACTCACATTCTTAACTGGCATAGCTGAAGAGTTACTCTCTTTTTTCAGTATAAATTCACTTTGTTTCTGTAGCACAACTGCCCTTCCCTCTCCCCACATCTCTTTCTCAGTCTGACTTCAAAGTAAAGAAATAAACTATTCCTTGGAAACAAATTCTTTTTTGCATTTCTTCCTCATTACAGCACACACAGAGGGGAAGACAAACCTTTAGATTCCCTCGATTGCTTGGAAATCTGGGGGGGAAACACAGGAGCACCCATTTTCTTCTCCCTTGTCTGCTCCCCAGCTAACGTGTGGAGCTCATTGCCGTGACACGTCGCTAAAAACAAGTATTTGCCAGGATTGAGAGTTGAACTGAACATGCAAATGAACACACGTGCACACACGCGTGCGCCAATATCTATTTGCATAGATATTTATATATAAACAGCAACTATTTTTAAAAAGCACAATAACAACATCAAAGAAATCTCAGGAACCGCGGCACTCTTCGTTTGCCATAGATGGGCCTTTGTTCATGGTAGACAGACCGGATTCCACCTCATCTGCCTTAGGCTTCTCCAGTGGCCTCTGTCAGCTCCAAGCCCAAGTCCCAAACAAGCACCATGGGTGAGGGTGCTAGAAACACAGTAGGTGACAGCGACAACCTAATGGTTAGTAGTGGATGAGGAGAGGAGTAAGTAAACACAAGCAAAATATGTGAGTCGCTTTATTAAAATCATACCCATCAGGCTGCTTCTGCTACTTACAGTGGCCAGCAAATTCCCTCTGTCCTAATGCACATGAAGTGCCAGGATGCATTATTCAGCACATGAATAACTCACCACGTTCTTTTGACTAATAGTCAGTTGTTGAGCCAGACTCTCTTTCATGAAGGTCAATAGCAACACCACTATTGTAGTTGCAGAGCATGGCAGAGCCTCTTGGCACCATACCAACCAGATTAAAACAAGGATCCATGCAAGGATTCCATGTACTGAAGACCACAAGGTTCTCATGTGGGCACAGAGGCACTTCTGTGGAGAATCAGGCCCTAAACTCACATTGAAAACCACAGGAAGGAACTTGGCGCACAATCAAGAGGAGGACTAGGTGTTCACGTGGCCACCAGAAAAGCCAGTTGGCCAACTGGAGTTTCCCTCTCTGTGTGGAGTGATAATTCAGGTGCTGAAGGATAATTGGAGAGCTGAATGTGAGGGTGGCCTTGGTCCCTTGGGGGACTCTGAGCCAACTGCTTTAAATGAACCGAGCAGGGGCTATGGTGACACTACTTTTTCTTACAGGTTTCCTGATCAGCCATGCTGTTGAACTACTGTATTAATACCATGCGTTGCAGACGTAGCGCTGGCCAGTGAAAAAAAGCTCATCTACCTCTGGGTTTGCAATATGTTCTGGTGCATGGGTCTGCTGTGCCTGTCTCTGTTTGCATTAGGTTAAATGCTGCTGAAGTAGCTGGGCCTAATTATGGCCTTTCATTCGAGATTAATACAAAGCCATTAAGCTGGTTTATGCAACCAGGTAGCTGAGCAATGGAAACATCTAAAACAAGAATGAGGCAATGCTGGAGGCCGAAACCATGCAATCAGCAGGGTTTCCTTGTGAGAAGGCAGAGGAAATGCATGCCTTTACCTACGGACTTGAGACAAAACAAAGGATGAGACTAGATTCACTGTGAGACTAGAAAGAGCCACCAAACCCACCGCTGATCCAACCCCAAACTGTCGAGCTGAGCTAAAGAGCAGGGCTCGCGGCTCAAAACACCCCAGGCCGCTGCTGTTGTTCACCCTGTGCTCAGGAAAATAAGCTCTGGTAGCTCTTCGCCACGATGGCGCGTGAGTGATTGACCAGTTCCCTGCCAGCTTCCCCTCCAAGCAGAAACACCCCGGAGAAACTCGGGTGTTCTTCTAATGGCCAGGTCAGAACAGGGTGATGCCGCAGCAATGCTTCTGGGAGTTACCTCTCCATATTCTCATAAAAACAGCGCTCTTTTGTTTGCAGTTGTGCAGAATTAGGTGAGATGCAGGCAGATTTTTCGGTTGTTACCCATGTCTTCATTGACTTTGTTAATGGCATCCTAGGTATTTTTTAAAAGGAGTGATTAGCTGATACATGGAGAAGGCTAACTAAGAGAGGAAAACCTACTAAAGAAAAATCAAAGGTTGTAAGGGAAGAACAGAGAAATCAGCGAAAAGTATTTAGGAGCTAGTTTACAAAACAACAACTGCATTTTGAATTAATTGATAGTTGATTTAATTGGATTATTGTAATTTGGAATTAAATTATTTTTAAACTGACTATTGGTTTTAAGAGAAATTTTTTAGGAAGCGCAGTGTGCCTGTTTTCCTCAAGCCTGGAGGAAAGGACAGGAAGACAAGTGCAACCCCCAGATCTGAATATACACATCCACTCAAATTTCTCAGTTGAATGATAATTCAGTCTCCCAAGGGAAGAATAATGAAAAGGAGACATGGCTGTGGGTGGCACACTACAGAACACTGATATGGGACCTTCCTGTCTTTCTAGGGCATGATAGGACCCTTAGGGAAGAAGCGTCCTTTGGGCAATGCTGCAGGTGTGAGTAGGTTTCACCCATTTTGAAACTGGGAAAGAATTTGTATACTTCCACGCACCAAACGGATACCTTGGATTTACAGTCATGCTGTGGTGGATGGACAATTCCAACCATTCTCAGACTACTGTGCACTTGCTTTAAAGTTTTGATGGGTGGAAAGCACCATCCCTTATCCCTTCACATTTATTGTTTTCAACATGGTGGGATGCAGAAGTGCCAGGTACTTTCCAAAGAAACAATCCCTGCTATGAAGAAGAGACCTTCTCATACCACTCTGGTTTCCAGCTCCCAGTGCAACAGTACAGAACTTGAACTGTCAGGAGCTAGAGAGAGCACACATGTGCACGCACACACACATTAGGCACTTTGTTTTATTTTGCAAAAAACAAACAAAAAAAGTCTTTATATATAAACCATTTCGTTCTCTCTCAAAACATTCTACAACTATACAGCTGTTTGCTCCATCATTTGCATAGGAAATACCACAATACAAAAATAAGGGGGAGGTGGGGAGGCAAAAGAAGCAAAACAGCAACCGATTTATGCATGTGTTTCCATGTATAAACATTTGAAGCCTTACAAAATTATTTACATCGTTTGTCAACTATTTACATTAAAAGCCACATTTCTAACTATAACAAACAAAACTATAATTTATCAAGTATATGTAAAATTGTCTTAAAAAAAAAAAGAGAGTCTATCATATACCACAAATAAATAAAGACAAAACAACAATTTTAAAAAAGCTAGGTTTTCCTGCAAGACCCTTTTTTGGTATTTTGATTGTCTATTCTAGCCTTTGGTTGACAGCTTAATGTTACGGCTTATGAAGTCCAGACACTTGTTAGGTTTGTTTGGTTTTCTCCTGTTGTCTGGCCAAATCCTACATGGTCTAACCTCATCTTTGGCCCTTCGTCTACTATTTCAAGGCTGAACACTGTGGATCAAAGTCATTGTTAGCATAAAAGGGCATCACTTTATTGACTTCAGTGGAGTTCCAGCTACTTTTGTCAGCAGTAAATTTTCCCCTGCGTGTGTCAATCTGAAGAGTGGATTAACAAAACTGCACTGTAATTTTAAACAAAATTACTGTATCCTTTACCTTGTAGTAAATTACATGCCATATCCACATGAAAACAGATCGTACTGGTGTTGAACCAGCTTAACATGTCTGTATATAAAAATTGCATCACAAATCCTTCTTTTTAAACTGATACTAAGTTTAGCTTATAGTAAGAGGTTTAACATTCTGTGTTCATTGTAACTATCCCCTTTATTTAAGCTTCCAACATTGACTTTGCAGTTCATTCTATGTGCTTTGCCCTTTTAAACAATTTGAAAATGAAATCCTGTTTTGAATATTCAGTGCACACCATCTGAGCTGACAGGTACAAAACATCTGAATGCTTAGCTTGTTTCTCTTAAGAAGAATGAAGCTAAGTTGGTACTACTTTGAGAGGTATTTAAGTATCTTTTTTTGCAAATGTGCCGTGTTTTCAAATGTAAAACAACTGCTTTTTTTTCAGATGATCCTTAGAAATCTTTTGTATTAAACCTAAAAAGCTGATCTGCATATTTACAAAATCTTTGTCATAGCAGACATGCAACATAGAGAACAAAATGTTTTGTTCTATGGCTGTGTTTTTATGTACTTTTTCTCCACAGAACGACTTAACATTTAAAAAAAACCCACCAGTACTAAACAGGTCCAGTAAAAACCTGACAGATTACAATTCATGGCTTTTCCACTGCGTTCGTTCACTTGCAACCTCTCATTACTTAATTTACTAAACACTGTCACAATAATGACAGTGCTTTGGTCAATACAACGCAAGAGAAAAAAAAAAACTTACAAAGCCGCAATGTGTCAAGATGTAATACTTTGAAAGAGATGAAACCTGCTGACTAAAGCCATGTACATCATGAGAGCAAACAAACGACCGAACACTCTGGTATTGTGATACAGTGTCTTCCCTTTTTCTGCATAAATATACAAAATATACACTTCCAGTTTCGCTTGTGATTTCTTTTTAAACGGATAACCCATACTCAAAATATTAAACTCATTTTAGTTGTACGCCGAGAGTCAATAGGAAATTGCATAGATACAAGACAGCCTCGTGGAGAAGTCCAGCGCTCAGTTCTGGTGCCTCTTCATGTGGAGAGCCAGGTGGTCGGAGCGGGAGAAGCTGCGGTTGCAGACGGCGCACTGGAAAGGCTTTGCCCCCGTGTGCTTCCGGTAGTGGCGCGTCAGCTCATCCGAGCGGGCGAACCTCCAGTCGCAGCCTTCCCACGTGCACTTGTATGGCTTCTCACCTGGAACAGAGCACACAGGGGCGTCAGCTGCCACCCTCAGGGGGAGCACCGACGCCAGACACCACCCGATTGCGCCCACCGCTCTGCAGTTTGGCAAAGAAACAAATGACAGAACAGGAGCTGTGAGCTGACACTCCCTAATCACCCACAGCTCTGTTCAACAGGCCCTGAACTAACAGCCCCATTGCTTTTTCAGCAAATTCAGCTCTTGAATCTCTGATTTAGCGCACCAGTAAGAAACTTTCAAACATACAAACTGGAGACAAGCTACAGTACAAAAATGCACAGAGGTAAAAAAGCTGCGTGACACGGAAATAGGCTCCTTACGCTCATCTCGGTGTGAGAGAAAGCAGAGGAAAAAAGCAGTCTCAAGTAACAACCCAGCCTAGCTTGCAACTTATGCTTGCACCTTTTAAAAATGGGCAAATTAAGCTATACAGAGCTTTTTTTAAGAGGTCTGAAATGGGAAGGAAGATTTCTATAAACATTCTTTGTAGCGTGGAGATCTGTTCCAAGAGCTTCTGATGTGTGAAGAAAGGGGTACAGTGTGCTGCCAACACAACACGGATAGTATTTTCTAAAACGTCAGGGGCAATAAAAACTTTTTCCTGGTTTGGGCTTCCTATATATAGGAGAAAGCACGTAGAAGATTAAAGCACTTGTTTTCCGAATCAAATGTCTACAAATCAGGTGCTTAAACAGCCGTATTTTAGAGGTGGCAAGTGCTTGCTGCCTCCATCAGTCTATAGCAAGGTAGGGGAAGGATGGTGTCTGTGGCAACGGTGTGTTACAGCAGCTCTGAATACAACTTCAAAGTATCCAACTAGTCTTGAATACACCGGTCCAAGCACAAAATACATTTGCATTAGTCCATTTTAGAACTATAAACAGGCTATTTTAAGCATGTCTCTAGTTTACAGGTGTTTGTTGGAAGGAGAGTATGCAAAGCCACAAAGCAAAGATGACTTCTGTGTGAAATCAGAACTTTACACATGTACATACACCTGTTTGGGAGCTGGAATGGACCTGATGTCACCATACAATCAAGCTTCATATAAATAAAGAGGTTAAGATTACCTATTTATAGGCTATTGCTTGATGTTAGTTGACAAAAACACCTTTCAGCTGGGATAGTGGACTGCTCCCTATATCCTTCATTTTAATTTGACCCATTTGGCAAGAAGAGAAAGAAATCTGAGTTTATCACTTGGCAGTAGCTTCATCTGGAGCAGAATCAGACCAAGGCTGAGCTTTCCAAAATGACCTTTCCACCACATTTTTCACATCTTCTCCCTCTCCATTGGTCTCAGACCTTTACCCTCACAGTCTCAATCCTACAGCATTGTGGAGTGACTCCCACTTTTCCGTTTTACCATCACATGAGTACAGAGAAGTAAGCCAGAAGCCAGTATCCTGCAATCAGACTGTTTGTTCTCTATCAGAGAACACTATTTGAGAAACTCCAAAACATTACTTCAGGGATGCTAATTTATCATTCACATGAAACTATGAAACTGATTTTGTCTGGGAGTTCTTACTGCTTCTTCCGATCAACTAACTAGTAACTTTCCGTCTGTTACTAAGAGCAGAATCGGCCCTTTGCTCACAAGAGGCACGTACATGACTTCATGTTGGCAGCAAGGTCACAACCAGAACCAGATCTCTACAAGAAAAACTAACTACCCAACCAAACAACCAACTCTTTGCATAAACAGCAACTGGGATTTATTGAAATCGCAGTGGAAACATATAATCTCTTAAGAAAAACAAACTTGGAGCTTGGCATCACCTCTTACAGAGTTCAAATTTTTTTTGGTGGGAAGCAAATCAGAACACAAATCACCACTAATTTCTGTCGTAGTTGAATTTACTCTGCCTGATGCTGATTGAAGCCCAGAATGAACTATCATTACTCTTTTTTTGCTCAATGCAACATACACTGTAGGCTAAAATACAGATTTCATTTAAACCCAATGCATAAAGCTTTCCTAACATCAGAGAAGCCAGCTGAGGTAACACATTTGGTCTTCACAGCAGAATGACAGGAAAAGTCTCTGTTCAGCAAGGGATCTTCTCCACTATATACATCATCCTTAATGTATTTAAAGTGGGTTATTAATGCAGCCTGTAAAAGACTGCATTGCTGATCCATAGGCATGGCACCAGGGACATCTTCTACCAACACTTTGTGTTAAAACACACGTGCACACGTGGAGGCTGCGCAAAAGCATTGCTCCTGCACGCAAAGCACCTTAACTTAAAGCCAGTGTACTTCTTTTTTTAATCTCATTTCTTTCTGCTTTTCTCCCATATTGCCTTGAAATTCTTCTTTAAAAGCCTTCTCTTAAAACTGCTGCATTATACGCAATGGTAACCTCCCTGTCTTGCAATCCCCCGTGCCCTAACGGCTCAAGGAGAGCATGTACATAGTCAGGTCTCTGCACAGTCTGAACACTTGCGTATCCACTTTGCAGAACTGCATGAGGAATGAGAGAAAAGATAAAGAGGGCAAGGAAACAGCACTAGTCAAACAAAAGCCTAGGAATATCCAGACAAGACTGGAACAGGGACCAGGAGATTAAAATCACAGTTTCCAAGCTTGGCATCCAGGAAGTATGATGGTGAACTTCACCGAGTGTTGGACTACCCTGTATTGAAAAAGCAGCCTGGAAGTTGTCCTGTGTAGGTGGTACCTGGCCCTGCCTGAATCCAAACAAAACTGCTGTCCCTCATTAAAACTTTTTCCAACCTAGGAGCAGCACGCAAACTGCCAGCAGCCGGGGCGGCGGAGAACCCTGTGCCTCGCTGGGTGCCACGGCTCCCATGCCAATACTGAATGCAACAGCCAGGCATCGCCCATCACACTCCAGGGGACCTAACTCCCCAGAGGCACTATCCAGAAACTTACCCCAGTCACAGTCACTTCATCCCCTGCCACAGCCTCGAATGCTCCCAGGCAACAGCGCTGCTGAGGGGAAAAGCTGGGCAGTGCCAGGCAGAGCAGCTCCGCTCCTCCTGGCCGCCGCGCTCGGGATGCATGCAGAGCAGTGAGCCCCTGCCTCACACAGATTGTTTTAACAGTGTTGCTTTTATGTACTGGAAATTAAAGCCAGAACGCTGCTTTTAACCCCTGCTTTGGCCAGAAGTGAGAACTGGAAAATTTATTTTTAGCGCCAGTGTAGAAGCCTGGATTATTTTTAATAAATCCTAGGGGTAAAATACTGAATATCTATGTTTGTAATGCTAGTTTCCGTTGGAAAGTTCTATTTAAGAACTGAATCAATTTGAAATGTTTTCGTTTTGGGCACAGAGGAAGGGGGGGCAAGAAAAAAAAGGTGGAGATTATTTTCACTCCTTTGAAGAAAGGAGAAGAACAAATAGCTGGTAGTATTTTCTCTCTCTCGACCTATACACATGCTTTTTGTCATTTAGCAGAAATAAGAATTTGGTTTAAGGTCCTGCAGAAAGGGTAAAAGAGCCTCACATTACGTATTTCTGAAGTGATCTTACTTTGCTATGCTAACTTTAAAGCACTGAGAAATCTGGAGCTCAAGAGTTTGGTTTTTTTTTAAAAAAAAAAGCAGGTACACAAAACAAGGGACACTGCACCCTTTATCCGTTGTTTTCATTGGCTACATAGTAATGTAAGATTTGTTTACTTTAATGATTGTGTGAAATACAGTAGCTGTAAAGTTTCAGAAATATTTGGTTTTCCTCCAGCAATTTAGGGCTTCTATAGGGTGTTAAACCAAGAATGCCACTGGTCATCAAATATGAAGGCAGTACATCTCGGGTACTGGAACCTGATCGTGGTATCAAACAGATATTTCACTGTAAAAGCAAGAAAACAGCTAACTCCTCCACTTCAGGGGAGCTTCCACGGGATTTGTTAGAATGTCAACACTGTTCAGCTAAAACACCATGGAGGAAGCTGGTACCGATTTCCAGCCAAATAGCACACTCCAACCCTTTCTTCCCAAGCCAGAAATATTATACACAGCACTTCTGGGAAACAGAACTGCTTTCCTTTAAATTATACTTCAACAGGATAGGGATTTCATAAGTTTAATTGGATTTCTGCATAACCTCCTTCCAGTATAACTGATTTAAAATATTTTGCTAGGCTTATGCATCACAAAATATATTTTTAAGTTCTTGAGCTGTTAATATGTACTTATTCTACAGTTTAAAAAAAAAAAAAAACATTTGTGCAGTATGAGAAACACTCTTATACTCGAGCACAGAAACTTTAAGCCCTAATGTTTAGTTTGGAAGCGCTTTTACAGCAAGCACCTAACAAGAGATAAGGGAGTGTAACCTGAAAGGAGACTATGTTGCTTGCAATGTGTCTGGCTGTTACAAAAATAATAATAATAATAATGCTGTGAGATTGTAAGGATATCAAAAAGATGTCTCGATAATCCACACATAACATGCTAACCTAACCAGTCACTTCAGCAGATATACTATTCCAAGGTAGATCCCAAGGTTCAGGATCCTTGTTGACACCCCAAGAGAATGGTGTGGACCAGTGAAGCACACCACATTGGCTCTTCTCCCTCTAATTTCTCTTCTTGGGATTTAATTGTGTCGAAATGCACCAACTGCTTTCCTAACATGAATTCTACACACTGGCAGTGACCGTCACGGCCATGCTTATTTGGGTAAGGCATACTGCCACCAGTGGGTGGGTGACAGTCATTTTGAAGACTACTTCTATCTTCACCACACAGCTTCTGTTCAAGAAAATGTTTTTGTTTAAAATTCTGTTTGGAAAAAATGAGTCACTGAATACCTCCATTAGCGATGAATTTCCCCATTAACAAGAAAAGAAGCTTCTTAATTTCACTGAAGAGTTGTGTGACTTTATTTCTGCGATTCACTGCTACGATGGCTTTCTTTAAATATAAAGCTGCAAACAGCAAGAGCCAGATTTTCAAACCTAAAGTTAGGTAACTCTACTGGTATGCAGAAATCCAAATACAGGTATTACACCAGCC